AAATTTTTACTCATTTCTATGCTATTTAAGCTTAGTTTATTAGTCTGTCGTATTTGGTAGTTAATCTTTGCCGGTAATCAGTTTCCTTGGAAGTTTTTTTGCCGACTCTTGGCTCCTTAATGCCATTTTCCTATTCGCTCATTTGCCTCTCATATCTTTCTTTCATCTATTTCTTTATATTCTTATTAAATTATTTGACTATTTGAATGTTTTGTTTGAATTTGGATGTTAATTTGATTTAGTTGTTTTATGAAACCTTGTTAAGATTTGGTTTTGTCTGAGCTCCCTTCCCTCGTTATTCAACTAAGCTTGGCTACTGTTATCTTTCAGTTTTTTATTTGACACCTATGCCTTTTTTCTCTTGCTTTGCTTGCAATATTTTGTTGAATTTTTTCTTTAGTTCCGTTTGTGTTGGAGAGTTTGCTTATTGATAATGGTGAATAATGGCGCAAGTGATGGTTTCGGTTGCACAAGTGTGACAAGATGTTTCTCCTTCACTATTTTCTGTGCTCGATTAGTTGTAGTCCGAGGGATATTATTAGACGTGGGATGGTTTCTGGCACCGGTGATGGCAGATCTCTGCCCTTTTTTGGAAGTTGGGTTCAGATGCGGTGGCCACGGACGAAGGTGTTTTTTGTGTTCAATTGCAGTCCAACGGAATGTGTTGGTGGTCATGCCAACCACTAAGAAACCTCTAGTTACTCTATTTATTGCATTTGACTATATTTTTGTTTTATAATTTTGCTTTTATTGGTAATTTACAAGTTTAAAAGAAATAAATACAGTTTTCTATTTTTATTGGCATTTGATAGTTTATTTTTGTTGGCTTTATTTCTTTTTACTTATATTTTTGGCCTCTCTCTCTTTCAACTTTGTTTTTTGGTTTTTCTCATTATGTTCTCTGGTCTTAGAATCTACTTTTACTTGGTTGCCAAATAAGATGCCAGAGAGATGCATTTCAATCGGTGTTTGATATTATTAGCCGTGGGATGGTTTCCATTGATGGTTTTCGCAATGTATTTAAGGTTTGGCCTTAATCTGAGTCATGACGGTGAGGGTTTGTGGTGCCAGTTGTTGTATTAAAAGGTTTGGGTATGGGCTCTTACATCACACTGGATGGGATCAGGTTGCATATAGTACTGTGCATCGGAAAATGTCGCATTGGTAAATGTTGTTAATATTTTTCATTTCTTAAATTTATTATTAACTTCAATTTAATTAAAATCTCACAATGTCATAAATGCGAAAGTGGAGTATGCCTCTCTCATTGCTTTCTGTCCAAAAGTAATGAACTTTGAGACTAATGGTGTTCTGAATGACGAATCTCTAAGAAACCATTTATTGCATTTGATTATGTTTTTATTTTATAATTTTGCTTCTATTGCTAATTTAGAAATTTAAAAGAAATAAATAAACTATTATTAAGGGTTTTTTATTTATTTTTATTTAATTATTGACTGAAAGACAAGGGGGAATAGACAATGGAGATACTACAATCAGTTCAATTGAAAAAACGAAAGAATAAACTGTAAAGAGTGATATACTTTCGCCATAGTAAATCAGTGAACATTGCTGGAGGCCCAAAGCCTTTTCCGCACAAAAAAGCCCATAGAGACTAATTGAAAGGCAATAATCGGTCCATAAGTATTAGATGACCATTTACTAAGGCACCGTTTGGTTTGCGGGAATAGGGGTCTGGAATCAGAATCGGAATGGGTTATTCCAATTTCAACTCTTTGGTTAGGTTGGAATCCCATTCTCAATTCTGCTGGAATGGCATTCCCCCATTTAAGGGAATGACCATTCCTTACCCTTCCCTTGGGAATGAAATCTCATTCTTGCTGATTTTAATTTTCATTCCCATTCTTATCTAAATCAAACAGACTATGGGAATGAATCATTCTTCCCAACATCACACGTGCCTCACATGTGAGCTCGTTTGTTCTGATTCTCAAAAGAGAGTACCCATTTGCAAATGGTTAATTCAATAATACCACCAATGACAACAACAATAACAATTTCTTACTTCAATTCAATTCATGTACCATCGAAAATAAGAAAAGAATGCTCACCAATTTTTTTGAATTTTTGTTGATTGTAGAATTAAATAAAGGGAAATTTTCTTAAATTACCCTTATGGTTTAACTAATTGACTAAGTGTATCCTTACTGTTTGAAAATTGACTAACACTACCCTTACTGTTTTGAACAATTGACTAACACCTTTATCGTTAATGTTCGTTAATACTCCATATTACCCTGGTACCCTAAACACCCCCCTATTCTCTCTCTTTTAAGACCTCTCCCTCTGCCTCTGTCTCTCTCTCCATTCTCAAACCTCCCCCACTTTCTCTCTCTCTCTCTTGCCCGCACATTGACCGTTGCTTCACAACGAGTTTTCCCGTTCTCGTCATAGTAGTTCTGCCATAAATCATATGACAGAGCAAATTTTCTCTACTTGTTTCTTTGTTGACAAACTCAACATTTTAAAAAAGCTTCTAGTATGACAAATAGACAAAAAAAAATAGAAGAAAATTCAAAAGAAAGCAACGAAACAGAGTAACCAAAGATCTACTCTTTTCTAATTTCTTACCTCAAAAACCTCGACTGCTAAGGAGTATGGAGATGAGGGAAAGGGAGGAGAAGACTAAGGAGTATGTTCGGATCCGTGTGCGCATCTCTTCGTGGCTTTGGACAAAAAGGCAAAGATCATGCCACCGATGGTTATGGCGTAAACATATTGGATTATGCCAAGGATAATCGCAGAGAGGCTTCCCATGACCCTCGTTCTTCCATTCAGGAGAATTCAACAGTAGAAGCTGAGTGAAAGATGGAGGGGAATAAGACACAGGTAACCGATTCTCGATAGGAAACGGTGACATGAATGAAGCGGGGCTCTTGTTTATACTTAACTGGCTAGCACTGCTTCTTGCAATCGATGAAGACATACGAAATAATTCAGATGTTTGTTCAAAATCGTCACAGCTAAACTGCCTCTGTAATTTTGCTAGCCTTGCGTAATGACCATTTTTTTTGTTAATGAGATCGTTGTGAGATCCAATTTCAATAATGGAACCTCCATTGATTACTATGATTTGGTTTGCGTTCTTCACCGTCGAGAGCTTGTGCACAACCACCTATTTATTAAATTATTGGTTATTTTTCAAAGAGTAGAAAAGATTAGACACTGATTTAATATATCGTCAAACTTAATCGGACAATTGAAATCATCAAATCATATTGATTTTTAATCTCTCTCTCTCTCTCCTTAGTTGGATTTGGGTGAGTCGGGGTAATGTTTTCTGGAGAAACCCAAATCTGAGATAACCCCTATGAGAGCCACTAGAGAGATTGACGACAGTGGAGATCCGAGAGAAAAAAAATGATTGTCATGTATTTGAACCCAGATCTGAGATAACCCCGATGAGAGTCACTGTAGATGTTAACAGTAGTAGAGATCTTAGAAGCGGTAGTAGAACTTGAAAAAACAACTTTCTAATCTCAAACCCATAGTAGAAATGGTAGCAGAAGTGAAGATGAGCAGAGAGAGATTGCAAAAGTGGAGAGGAGGAAAATAAGGAAGAGAAGAGAAGGGATAAATGGAGAAGGACAAATCAGGTTGCTCATGCCTAAGTAGTGACAAGAAATTCCAGTTTAATCTGAGCACAGGCGTAGAGTTGGGGCGGATCCTCTCTGTCCAACCGCAAGCGCAGCGGCGACCTTCGGTTAATCTAACGAAACACCACACCCCCTAACCTTCCAAAAGATCAGCTCTAAGAAAACCATAATGATCGATTTTTTCGTAAGAAAGAGGACCGAACTAGAGAATCTCTCTCCATTTGTAAGTGATAGTTGAAGATGGGGAAGGTACGAGTTGAGAAATTGCCATTCTCTCTTTTTATTTGTTCTTTTTTTCACTCTGTATGGATCGGAATCAAACTATCAATTTCAGAGAGTAAGTGTTTCTCTCCCCGTTCTCTATTTTATTTGAAATTTTAAAGAAGGGTAAAATAGTCTTTTTCGCCATAAGGATAGTTTAAAAAATTTACCCTTAAATAAATTAATGAATGATTGATGCATTAATCTCCACTTTTCTTTTTTTAACAATGTGCTAACGTTTTTTTTTCCTTTTTTGACCGTGGCTTTGTGGATCGATTGTGGGCCTGTCAGTTATAGCGGGTATCGGGTGCCCATCGCCACCCATACAGACATACAGCCCATGTAGCTACGCACAGTTAGCCTGAGTAAAAAAGGTCATTTATTAAAACATCCTTTATAGTAACCTAGCATATGGTTTGTGGTTTATGTTTTACTAAAACACCTCGTAACTGATTTATTTAATTGACCTTTTTAAGTGGAAAATGACAATTTTGACTTTAGTATCTGTTGACACCAATTTAATCTATAAAAGTATAAACGGAAATGTGACTCTTGCCCCTTAATAAAACGTGAGCATTTTTCAATCAATTTTATTTATTTGAAGAAAGAAGACATAATGTTGTAAATTAATAACTGGGAATTGGGATGTACTGTTTTTTCTTTTTTTTCATTCTATTAAAACCAAATATTGTGTGGTAGATCTGAAAATGAAACAATAGTTTATTTTAAAAGCCCAATATAAAGTGTTAGAGGTAATTTCAAAATAAAATACCATAGGCCCATTCCCTTAAACAGTCTATATCAAGGTCGATTAAGCAAATCAATTGCAAACTAAGGGGAACATTTTGTAAAACCTAAATTACATGGTAGCTTTTAAAAATTTCGTGAAAGTATGAGAGTGTTTTAGTAAATGACGGAAAAATAACCGGCCATTTTGGAAAGGAACAAACTGACAAATCCACATTAGTTCCTCGTTCGTATGTTCGTATCGGCAATTTCTGACATAAAGAGAGATCCAATGCACGCTTACCTCGCACGTACCACACGATGCAATTCTAATTCCTTCCTACACACGCGCGGCCAAGGCTGGTGCGATCTGACACGTACACGCTTCCCCGTCCCAGTTCTCGGATTCCTTTCCTCCTGAAAAGTGCCAGTACCCATGCAGACAGACGATCGCTTCTTCTCCGTCTTCCAAACCGGGATCCCGAAACCATCTCTTCTGCCTTGGTTTCTGGTTTTCCGGTGGCATCATCCCTCTCCGTATCCTCTGCTGTTCTTGAGTAGGGCTTCGTGTTTTGCAACGGAGGAATTATTTCTTCTTGGCAGATCTACAGGAAAAGTTCCTGGATTTACATTAGAGCCGTAGAATCCGCTGACTGTTACTGCACTTTTTTCATTCGCTGGAGATGGAATCGATACTGGCTCGTGCTTTGGAGTATACGCTCAAGTACTGGTTGAAATCCTTCTCCAGAGATCAGTTCAAGTTGCAGGGTCGAACCGTTCAGCTATCCAATTTAGGCATGAAACCAATCATTTTTCTTTGCTTAATTCTGTACTTTATATTTGAAAACAATTTATATAAGAAAAGGATTAATTAGTGATTTTTTTTTGTAATTTTTAGATATAAATGGTGATGCTTTACATGCTAGTCTTGGATTACCCCCAGCATTAAATGTTATGACTGCAAAAGTCGGAAAACTAGAGATAAAGGTTGGTTGAGAACTGCAGTTCGTTTGATATCGATTGGTTAAATTGGATTAAATTTGGGTTATTTGATATGTTTGTGATGTTTCTCTTGTTTCTAATTGTGTTCAGTCGATGTGTTATTCAGCTTCCGTCGGTTAGTAATGTGCAAACGGAACCGATTGCTGTTCAAATTGATAGACTCGATGTAGTTCTGGAGGAGAAGTCGGATTCCAATAATGCGAAGAGCTCAAACAGGCAATGCCATTACGTTTTTACTTGGGGTTTCACTAGTGATTGGACTAGCATTTAGACTAATACGACTACTTTCCAATTCTCTAACTTCTCCTTATACCTCCTGCAGCACCCAGGCGTCTAGTGGCTCTGGGAAAGGTAGCGGTTATGGATTTGCAGACAAGGTAGGACTTTTCTCCATGGCAATTGGAAATGAGTTAAAATGCTCATTACCTCCAGTTTCTCTTGTGAAATAATTGAATCGAGAACTTAACAATTCTATAGGTTGTCGTTTTAACATTTTGAGTGGATAAACTGCCTTTCTTTAACAAGTGGTTTTTAGTTACCTATTTTGACATAGACAGACTTAGCTATATGTAGGGCAACATATGGATAAACCAATGTAATGATTAATTAAGTAAATAATGTGTCTGCATGTTACTTTAATCGTATCCCATGTCATAGGGACAGTGAGAGCTTATCCAATGGTAATTGGTCCCATGTGGTAATATGGCCTTGGTTGACTAGTTACTAAGAATTATATGTAAGATTATTTTCATCACAGGTACAAGATTTTCCATTCATGATCTTTAAATTTACTTCAATATCATACTAAGTTACTTTCATGAGAAGCACTAACAAAACAAGAAATAGTGGGTGGCACAGACAACTACTGGAAGTTTCCCTTTAGAAGTTATTACTATTGTCCAGGACTTATTAGAAGATTTATCTTGTATTGGGTTTAGGTGAGTCCACGTTTACTGGGGGAATTGATACCCTTGGTTTTATCACTTTATGTAATGGTGAGATGTGCAGTAGGAATGTTGAGATTTACAAAAGAGGTTGATTTTTACATGACATGGTTGCTGATTTTTATTTTCTCTTCTAAGAAATAATTGATACCCTTGGTTTTATCACTTTATGTAATGGTGAGATGTGCAGTAGGAATGTTGAGATTTACAAAAGAGGTTGATTTTTACATGACATGGTTGCTGATTTTTATTTTCTCTTCTAAGAAATAATTTCTTTTCCAACACTAATGGTTATTTCTCATATTTATTTTGTTTTACAAGTATTACCAAGAGACAATGATCACCAGGTGCAATATCATAACTAAGGGTGATCTGGATTTTATTCCTCCGTTTTTGTCTAAGGCCATATCTTCCATTAAAGAATGACATTCGAACTTCTTTTCACTTCCCAAGCAATGTGTTTTTGCCTTTTTGTCCTTTAAGGACCTTCAAGTTGCACCATGTTACTCCTTACTCTTAACATGAAGCTTCATTTGTGGTCTAACTTTGTTGCTCTAGAAGTTTAATCTGTTATTCTTCTGTACTTTTATTTTATCTTTGAATGACAACCATTGGCTTTCTATTTGTACTTAGATTGCAGATGGAATGACTTTAGAAGTGGGTACTGTCAATCTTTTGGTTGAAACTCATGCTGGTGCTCATAGCCAAGGAAGTGCAACATGGTAATACCTTATTACCTCTTACCACAAAATTGGTTATCAATCTATGCTGTTATCTATTGACTATTGTTCCTTCTCTCTCGTGTAGGCTGAGGGTTGCAGCTGCATGAATTGTACCAATGTTTTGAATTGTTTGGTTAATGAACACTAACTGTATTTAGTTTTCATCAAATGATCACACATTTAACCCATTGGATGGTTACATATTGTTATTGCATATTTTGTTGGGCATATAATAATTTTTTGTTCTTATTTTTTTGTAAATATTCATACCTTACACTCTGGTCTGTAATTACAGTCATCTGACATTCCCATGAAAGTGTTTTCCCTAACCATATTGCAGCTAGAGTAGTTTCTCTATTGTTATTATTATTATTATTATTTTATTTTCTGGTAGGAGAGTAGCCTCTCTATTAGAAAACTCTCATCAGGGCCAAGCTATTCTTCTGTAGCTACTATAGTCATTAAGGTTTTACTTATGGGCTTTAACTTTTCTTGATGGGGTAAATATAGAAACTTCTCATAACTAGGAACAGATTGCAGTTTTTGTTAAAGATATATTCTCTTTAGTCCTTGTGGCAAAAGATCTGAATTAAAGCAACACGTTCCCATTTTAAATTTGTTTTGTTATTTCTTGCTCTAATGCATTTGGTTTTTTAACCATATTTATTATATATGGTATATTTGTAATCCCTTGATTGTAGAGTGTTTTACCATCAGTAGTTTGTGTAACAAAGTTTCCATAGTAACAATTTTGTTATTTCTTAATATCTTGCAAGTTGCAACATGGATGAAACAGCCAAAAGCAAAATCTCTTTTTACCCATGAAGTTTTCGTTTGTCAAAGAATTGGTTGAAGTGTACTTTAAGTATGAGTTGATATTCTAAGGTCTGTATCCACCCCTCCCAAGGCCCCGGAAAGCCAGGACCAATATTGGGTAATAGCATCTTGCTTATAATTATGGGCAGTCGTTTCTCATTCTTTCCTTTATGACCAGTGCATCACCTATGGCATCTATCACAATACGGAACCTTTTGCTGTACACAACAAATGAAAATTGGAAGGTATTTTCTTGGATTACTTTCGTACTGATTACTTGGATAGTTTTTTGTTGTATTTGTAAGAATTGCTCCTAATTTCCTCTAGTAACAGGTTGTGAATCTTAAAGAAGCAAGGGACTTCTCGAATAATAAGAAATGCATTTATGTCTTCAAAGTAAGTTCTTGGTCTTCTCTGTGGTGTTCTGCTTTGCATTGTTAATGGTTTAATCTACCACAAATATGGTAACTTTTCTATCCATATTGGTGCTGTATATGCAGTTGTGCACTAGTGAAAAGTTATCTTGTTCTTCTGTATGGTACTACCTATTGATGCTATATGCTTTTCTGTGCTGCCAGAAACTCGAATGGAGATCATTATCTGTTGACCTCTTACCTCATCCCGATATGTTTACTGATGCTCATTCAAATAAGTATGATGATGATTCAAAGCGGGTGTTTTTTGGTGGAGAACGGTTCCTTGAAGGGATTTCTGGACAGGCTTATGTAACGCAAATTTGATGTTTCAACTGTTTTTTTGGTTGACCTATGTTTTGTGGGACTAAATAACCTTGCCTAGAATTTTATGGATATACCATTCTTATTTTTTCTTAATTTGTTTTATTATGATTAGATAACAATTCAAAGGACAGAGTTAAACAGTCCATTAGGGCTTGAGGTTCAATTGCATATCACAGAAGCTGTTTGTCCTGCCTTAAGTGAACCAGGTAAGAAAAAGTGATATTTTTTCCCCTCTTTGTCAATGTTGTGCAGTTTTAAGTATATCACTAGATAATGGATTAAGCATGCCATGGTGTGATCAGGTTTACGTGCTTTATTGCGTTTTTTGACGGGATTATATGTATGTCTCAATAGAGAAGATGTGGGCCCAAAAGCTCAACAGGTGTTCTGTGTTCTCGTTTCTGTTTAGGATATTGTTAGAAATATTTCATTCTGCTGTCTTATTAAGCATAATCAATTAAGTTACTTTCTTGTGGTGCTTATTCTTGATTTGCAGCAATGTACAGAGGCAGCCGGAAGATCTCTTGTTTCTATTGTTGTTGATCACATATTCCTCTGCATTAAAGATGCTGGTTGGTGACAATTGCTTGAAATTGTTTTTTTTTCAATATTATATTTTTTCTGAACTTTCTTTGTTTACTTTTATACCAAAATCACCAAATTAACTTGCTTGTATGAATTCCTATAGAATGATATATTAAGGATTTCTTCTTTTTGGTTGTTTATCTTATTGACTGAATCGCTTTTATGTTGATTTTTTTCTATTACTCTTGGTAGTAAGCTGGACTTTGGAAGGATATTTACAAATATTTGTTAGAATCAGAAAAAAAAAGTAATTATATTATATGATATTTGCATTCCAGCTCCAGCTTCTCACATATTCTGTAGTGGTCAGTAAACTTGTAAACTATTTTTTTTTCTGATTTGCATCACAACCAGAAGCTAAGTTTAATTTTCTAATTCTTCCAATCCTTATGTGAATTGTATTCCAAAAGAAATTTATCCAATGAAATTAATTTATTTTGCAGAGTTTCAACTTGAGCTTTTGACGCAGTCACTTTTTTTTTCCCGGGTAGGATCCATGGTCCGCTTATTTTTTTCTTAATTGTTTATATATCTTTTATCAAGACGTAGAATAGAGATAATCACACACATTTTATTTCGATCTTGAATATATTTACTATACATATTTCTGTTGAGCAAACATAGAAAGAGTTGTGACATGGACTGGGTAAATCTACTAACAGCTCATTTTAGTAAACTTCCAGTATCTTGGTTGTCTTATTTCGCAAAGAAATGGGTATTTAGGACACTGAATTAATATACACAGTTCTCATGGCCTTCACAGGGTTATCTTTTCTAACTTCCTTTACTTTTTCTTTCTCAATGCTTTTCTCTTGTTTATCCTATGCATTGTATTATTTTATAGTGTACCTTGACATCTAATACTTGGCTTTATTTGATGGCAGGCAAGTGTATCACATGGAGAAAATACAAAAACCTTGTCTCAAATAATGGTTGGTGGCCTATTTCTGAGGTATTTATGTATCTTTTGTATATCCATGGCTTTAGTCTGAATATATCTACTTCCATTTTGGTTTGAATTTTGACTATGAGTGATGTTAGAATGAATGCAATTCCTAGCTATAAATCCTGTGTTGCTTGAAACAATTTACCTTTGCATTTTTCACTGACCCTAAAGTGGCCAGAGATATGTATAGCATAAAAGTTGATGCTGTGTGTAGCTTATAGGTACACATGTTAACCTTATTCTCAATACCTGAATTCTAAATTTACTATATGGTATAAACAATATCTGGAAGTTTAAAGCAAAATTAATTGACAATTTATGGTATCATTAAGAATTTAACTTAGGAACTCGTGCTTGGAATGCAGGGACACCTTATCGCATCCTCCATGTACCTTGGTGCAGCCATCTGTGCAAGCTGTTATAAAAGATGTGCTTATTCCTGAATTTGGTATCTCTTGAATGGGTCATTTACTTCTGTATTCTGCCTATGATTCATAATCTGTGAGCTTTCAAGGCTAATACTAGATTTTGTTTGCATATAAATTTGGAGTTGATGTATATCATTGTTTTATTGGAGCAGCAATGAATTTTTGCCCCTCAATCTATCCTCTTGGAGACCGAAGGTGGAAGTTAAATAAAGGAACTCCCCTGATTTGTCTCTATTCTCTTCAAATTAAACCCTCACCAGCCCCTCCATCTTCTGCTTCACAAACAGTAATCAATTGCCAGCCTCTTATGGTATATAGAAGTACAATTTCAATCTGAAGTTTCTTTACCATCGTCTTACACCAACTTTTTCGTTTTCTCATTTTTCTCTTTATTTTTTTCTTGTTCAGATTAATCTTCAGGAGGAATCTTGTTTGAAGATCTCCTCCTTTTTATCTGATGGCATTGTGGTCAATCCTGGTGCTGTTTTAATTGATTCCTCTGTTATGTCCTTTGTATTCACTCTTGAAGAATTAGATCTTACTGTACCTTTGGATTTTGGGAAGTCAGATAATCATGCATTCAAGAGTAGCAATATTTTTCAAAGTGCATTTTCTGGAGCAAGGCTTCATATTGAGGACATGTTCTTCTCAGAATCACCAGCATTAAAACTCAGGCTACTGAACTTGGACAAGGATCCTGCTTGCTTCTGTCTCTGGGAAGGTCAACCAATTGATGCTAGTCAGAATAAGTGGACAATTCAAGCTTCACACCTTAATGTGTCTCTTGAAACTTGTAATGGTTTAATTAAAAATCAAAGTTCTGTTGGCTGGTCTGAGGGGTTGTGGAGATGTGTTGAATTGCATGATGCCTGTATTGAGGCAGCTATGGTTACAGCTGATGGAAGCCCACTGGTGACTGTTCCTCCTCCTGGAGGCATTGTCAGAATTGGTGTTGCTTGCAAACAAATCATATCCAATACTTCAGTTGAGCATCTATTCTTTGTTTTGGATCTTTATTCCTATTTTGGTAGAGTCGGTGAAAAAATTGCAAAAGCAGGAAAAAATAACAGACAGAAGAGAAATAGAAGGAAATACATTGGAGGAGAACTGATGGAAAAAGCTCCTGGTGATACAGCTGTGAGTTTAGAAATGAATGGACTCCAGCTTAGGTTTCTAGAATCCTCCTTGGATATTCAAGGAATTCCTTTAGTCCAGTTCATTGGAGAAGATCTGTTTATTAAAGTTACACATAGAACCCTAGGTGGTGCAATTGCAGTATCGTCCACTGTTCGTTGGGAGAGTGTCCAGGTGAATTGTGTAAATGCAGAGAGAAACCTACCAAATGAAAATGGTGCATCCATTGAACATGGGATTCTGGTGAATGGAAATGGGTACCCAAATATGATTGCTATCTTTTGGATTGAGAACAGAAGGAAGCATCAGCCACATGACATATGCCCGGCACTACCATTTTTGGAGATAAGCATGGTGCATGTGATCCCATTAAATGCAGAAGACTCAGAGTGTCATTGTTTAACTGTGTCGGCAAATGTTTCTGGTGTATGCCTTGGAGGTGGAATGACTTATGCTGAAGCTCTGCTGCACCGCTTTGGTATACTTGGGCCTGATGGTGGTCCTGGAGAGGGGCTTTTGAAAGGGTTGAAGAATTTATCTTCTGGACCTTTGTCAAAGCTTTTTAGGACATCATCTTTTGTTGAGGATGATCAAGTGGAACAATGTACTGTTGATATTATTTTTTTTGTTAAAGGAATCTCCATTTATAAATTATAAGCCTGTTTCATTGTATTCTACTAGAAACAAATTTATGCATTTCTCCATCATTTATATTACCTTTCCCATGATTTGATTTCAGTTTTTATTAGCTTTTCATTTGTGTTTTGTTATTGGAATGTATTTTGATTTCACACACATTTCTTGTGTCCCAAATTGTTCAATATTCTTTTCTGTTTGCAGATGGAAGCTCTGAAGATGGGGGAAATGATGGTTTCCTAGACCTGGGAATACCAGATAATGTGGAGGTAACCATAGAATTCAAAGACTGGTTGTTTATTCTTGAAGGAGCCCAGGAAATGGCAGAAAGGTTGTGGTTTTACAGTGAGGATGTTGGAAGAGAAGAGAGGTGTTGGCATACCACTTTCCAGAGTTTGTATGTGAAAGCAAAAAGTAATCCAAAGCATGTTGGTAATGGCTTAAGTGAATCAAATGGAAGACAGAAATGCCCTGTGGAATTGGTCAAAGTAAGCATTTGTTTAGTTTCACTTTCAGGCTTCATTATTTGTGGATCAGATATTACCTTTAACTTTCAGCCAATAGAGTTTTGATTGACACTGACATGCTTTATAGCATGCCTGTTTCATTTATTTAGCTATTTAAAAATTTTTGTACAGATTTATGCACCTTTTCATCATCATCATTCAGTTTCTAGGAATGCCTAGTCTGGCATTCAAGCATATATATAGCCATATTTCCTACTAAATCCTATGTTTTTCAGTGCCTCCCTCTCCATTGGATCCCTTTTGTTATATTTGGTTGCACTGTTATGGCATGATCATATTCCTTATATTTGGTCCCTGATTCATTCTATCAATTTTCTGTTGTACATTTTCAGTAAATCCTTGCACTTTCTCTTGAGTAGCTGCTCTTTAACATGCTTCATCTTTTATTTATTATCTTAATTTCTTGTGAGAATACCTGCAGGTTGGTGTGGAGGGTTTGCAAGCCTTGAAACCCCAAGATGGTGCCTCATCAAGAGGGATCAAAGGAGCAGATGGATACTCAGGAGGGGTTAATCTTGAAGTTCAAATGGTGATTTCTGAGGATAATGAGGAAAATGAAATGGCCAAGTGGGCAGTGGAAAACATGAAATTCTCTGTTAAGCAACCGGTAATTTAACCCAGCTTTTCAAATGTGTGTTCTTCTCATTTTATTTCTTACAATGCATTGCACTGATGCCTGCTATCAATTCTGGGATTGATAATTTGCAGATTGAAGCTGTTGCAACCAAAAGGGAACTGCAACATCTTGCTCTTCTATGCAAGTCAGAACTTGACTCTATGGGTCGAATAGCTGCTGGAGTTCTGCACTTACTTAAGCTCGAATCGTCTGTTGGCCAGGCGGCTATAGATCAACTTAGAAATCTTGGTATTTCATAGTCTTTGACATAACTTCTATATTCCCATGAATCCCATCAATAAAAAATCCTGCTAATATTTAGACAATATTTTTGGGACAGTTCGAGCATAACCCCAAAAAATCAAGAATAAGCAGTAGATGACCTTCATACCCAAACACATGTTTGGCCTATATTAGCCATCCATATATTTGTCCTATGTTTGGCCTGAAGATATGGCCAACTAATGGAGCCCTCTGGGCTTCAGACTAATTAGTTTGTTGGCAACATGTCTGTTGATCAGTTTCTTGAGGATGGATCATGGACTTACTCCATCGTAGGATGCTTTTCTTTTTGAAATTTGTTCAGTTTCCTTGCCTTGATTGTTTCAGAATTCATAATAATGTAGCAACTTGTAGGAAGAGAGAGTTTGGACAAGATTTTCACTCCAGAGAAGTTCAACCAGCGGAACAGTGCCAACAGCATCGAGTTCGAACCAACTCCAAAAATGATTAGTGAGAGCTCGCATCAGAGCTTGGAATCGACTGTGGCTTCCCTTGAGGCAGCAATTCAGGATTCGCAAACCAAGTGCTCAGTGCTCGTTGCCGAATCTCAAAGTCAAGAATCTTCTTTAAAACAACATATTGTGGATATTGAACAACTTAGTCAGAAACTTGAAAGTATGCGGACTCTGTTGACACAATTGCGGACTCAACTATAATCAGTTTCTTATGGCTGGGAGTAAAGTTTTCCAAAACGTATATTGGCCATTCTTTTGTAGGTAAATAAGCGTACAGAGAAAATTTATTTAAGTTTGAGAATGTGTAAGAATAGGCATAAATAAGAGAGATTCATACAGCCCATCGGAAAGCTTTGTACCCAAAACTTGGGAACATGTTATGTATCATTTGAACCGAGTAGAGGGAAAATATATTCTGGGCTTCATCATATTTGTTCGTCTCAAGGATGTTTAGCAGCTTTGCAGCTATCATATCATTTTATCTGACTAATTTTCTCACATGTTCGTACAAGTGTTTCATTTTGCTTAATCATCAAAACTTGGGGATGGCTTAATTATCATCATCCATACCTTATCCCAACTAGACCTGCTCATGGGCCGGGTAGCCCGGGGCCCAGCCCGCTCCACAGTCGGGCTTGGACGTATTGTTAAGCCTGCAGGCTTGACCTCGGGCCCAAAACACCAAGTCCGATTGTTTTTCGGGCTGGGCTCAGGATTTCTCAAAAAAGCTTGGCCTGACCTAGTTATTTTATATAATTATAAATATATAATATTTATTATAATATATATGTATATATATTAATATATACATGTTTTTACTTTTTTTCCTAAATCTTTCTAATTTTTAAACTCCCAAAACCCTAGCAACGGATCAGTAATCTAGCATGTCTTCTCAAGTGTTTTCTTCTCCGGTGATCTCTGGCGAACGGACCAGCAGTTTTCACTTTTCATTCTCAGTTCCTTGTTCCTTCTCAGTCATTTTCTTTTTCGACAATCTCCACCGAATGTAGGCTAGCAGCTATAGCCTTTCCTTTTCTCATTATCTTCTCCTGTGAACTCAGACTAGCACCTCAACGTATGCCTTCTCTTTGCCCGACCAGGTTCTCTCTCTCTCTCTCTCTCTCTCTCTCTCTGGCCTAAGGAGATTTCATTAATGAAAAGTGAAAGCATGGCCTGAGCCCGGCCTGGCCAGACCAATGAACAGGTCTAATAGCAACTATATGGGATGGGGTGCATGAATCATGTTTTGCCATGCACTATTTAATTCCCTTTAACTAAACAATTGCATGTATTGCATTCCATTCACATTCAATTTAACTTCATGAAGAACTGCCCTTGTTTTGTTTTTGAAATCTAATCAAATAATTACCATCTTTAATATGCTTTTTAAAATTTTTTTCTTCCTTGGACCAATCACTAATGATCGCAGGGAAAGGTACATCCGTATATGTTTGTTGATGCAAACGTCTACCCTGTTCAAGTTAAAAATATGAGCATTATTTTTTGGGAAAATTCCACTTTAGTACCTTGAACTTTGGGGGTAGTGTCAATTTAGTACACGATCTTCCAAATGTGTCACTGCAGTACCTAAACTTTCAAAAAGTGTCAAGTTGGTCCTTGTCGTTATTTGATCGTCAGTTATTTGTTGAAAATGTCAAAACTACCCTTCAAAAGAAGACACTATTCATTGTCTTCTACCTTGAGACTGAACCAGTTATCTTCAAAGAAAAAGAGAGAAAAAAAAACATGAAATATGATAGAGGGAAACAATAACTAATAGCAAAGAAATAACTAGACAATAATGTGTTTCAGATCTAAAGGTAGAAAATAATGACTTCATTAGTCTAGAATCTCAAACACTTGAATTGGTTCAGTCTCAAGGTAGAAGACAATGAATAGTTTCTTCTTTTAAAGGGTAGTTCTAATATTTTCAACGGATAACTGACAGTCAATTAACAACAGGGACCAACTTGACACTTTTTTGAAAGTTTAGGTACTGCAATGACACATTTGAAAGTTCGGGTACTAACTTGACACTACCCCCAAAGTTTAGGGTAGTAAAGTAAAATTTTCCCCCTTATTTTGGGGTAAATTCTAGATTAGTACCTAGTACCCTATACTTTAGGGGTTGTCTTGAACTTTAAAACATGTTACTGGTACTTGAACTTTCAAAAGTTGTCAACTTAATACCCGCCATTAGTAGTCCGTAGGGGTGGGTTCGAGCCGAATACTTGGCTATTTGAACTCGATTTGTAGGAATAATATCAGGCTAGAGCTCGAGGTCAAGCTCAACTTGGTTCATAGCTCACAAGTTCAAGCTCGGCTTGGCTCCAGCTTGACTATAAGTGTTTTTTTGAAAAGTAAAGATTATATGTATAAAATTATTTTTATTTTTAGACAAAAAATTAAGAATTATAAAAATTATTTACTATTATACATGAAAAATAAAAATATTATTATATATGATAAAATTATTTATTATATATACATACATATAAATATATATATATATGTATATATTTATATCTATGTATGTGTGTGCATGTAATAAATGTCTCATTTTTACCATCACGGTTAATCTCCATTTACATCAATAGTTTAATTATGTATCCTTCAAATTTTTCTAACTAGGTATCTCAAGTCTGTAAAAAATGCTATGTTCATATTTGATACAAAACTTGATGCCAAGGCCATGACAAGACAGCTTTGCTGAGCACCAAAATTAGGTCATACCAATGGATTCAATGCAACCCAAACCCAACTCTATAGTACATATCATATATAAATATATGTTATATATATGATCATACATTGATTTGTTTAGATGCATGATAGTTGTATAACCACTACCACATACTATCATTTATTTCATTTAAGATAATCACTTCACTTAATCCCAAGGTACAAAGTATTGATACATATCAACCCATATCGGCCAATACGTATCATTTTGGGAGCTCCCCGATACGCCCCTATAGAGGGCGTATCAAGGTTCTAACAAGTTCAGGGGGTGGAGCCTTAAACCGCCCCCTTCAACCGGTTTTGAAAAAAAATAAAAAAAAAGTAAAAAAAAAAAAAACACTATCGATATCGCCCAATACGCCAGCATATTGATATTTAGAACCTTGCTTAATCCTAATTGGAAATACTAAAACCTTGATAACATATTTTATGTTTTCTAAATATTTTATTCTTTATCTCCTCTATGTTTGCCACCCATAGCTTGTTGCCCATAAAAGATCTATTATAAGTCATCATAATAAACTATAGTCCATGGTTTTTAAAACTAGACCGGACCAGACGGTTAGAGCAAAAAAATCGGTAACCAATCAGCCCCCCAGGTCCAATTATATTATAAATCAGAAATTCCTTATAACGTTGAAAAAGTCAAAAAACCACCAACCTAGGCGGTCGAACCGCTAAACCGTTTGACCCGGGTAATGGTTCACGGGTTATATTTTTTATTTTTGTAGATATAAATAAAATAGAAAAAACAAAAAATAAAATGATTTTCATATCCCCACCCCAAATCTTACTAATGGTTAGGATTAAAACGACCCCATTTTCGTTCTAACCCTTCCCTCCTCTCAACCTTCACAACCAACTGACCACCTGCAACGGCCACGATCTAAGGCGACTGACAACGGTGGTGAGCTTCATCTACGACGGCCAACGTTGATTTTGCAACAGGTCCAATTGTCCAATAGTAATAATTGCAGCAGTAATAGGTCCGATGATCGACTTGTAGCGGCGACTGGCGATTTTGCAACGGCAGGTGATTTTGCAGCAGCAGGCAGGGGTTTCTAGCGGCAATAACAATTGTAGGCTTGCAGCAGCACTTGCAGCGGCAATCATCTGCGACCAAGCCCGAGCCCACCGTCACACCATCGCCGGTCCAGTCCACCAGCAGTCGTTCGACCCGAACGATTCATTCAAAAGCTAGGGCAGAAGAGGCGGTCTCAGGGCTCTCCCGATACTTGAGCTCAATCACCTCCTTCTTTTGAACCGATGCCATGCTACTTGAATAAAGCATGCAGCCCATGTACACCATTGATGCGAGTAGAACCGAAACTTGTGTCTAAGTTGCTTGCTATGAAGCCTACGGAATTGCAACGCCACAAACTTCAAGTCATCGGCAATGAGTGTGAACACCTCAACTTCAGAAATGGCCTTGCCGGTGCATGTGGACGACGGAAATATGACACTTGGACATGGATCAAGCGCCTATGTCAGCAGTTCCTCGCCACAGAAGTCGTCGGGGCCAATGCGACATGAATTGGAGAACCCCGTACGACCACCATTGGTAGTATTAGACTTCGGGGAGCCTCAGATGATGAAGAGCATCTCATTCACTGGGTCACCCTCCCGCGTTAGGCACGTCCCTTCGGTGCACAGGGCAAGCCTCTCACATGCATCTAGCATCCGCTCGTCCATCTGGTCAAACAGTGGCACCTGTTATTTTATTTTTTTTTTTCAAGTAAGACAGATTCAATAACATAAAAGATAAAACCTATAAGACATACAATTGATACTGACTCGTCGAACAAGGTCCAAGCAGAGGTGGCGTTTGACGTCTCTGCGGAGATCCATGGGTAGGCCTTTGAAAATAACTTCATTAACTCCCCGGTTCATTCAAAAATACAAAACAGATTTTTGCATTTAGATAATTTTATTTTTTGTATTCTTTTTTCTTATTTTAGTTAATTTTATACTATTTTTTATTATTTATAAATATATTTTTATTTTTAATTTATTTACGATGTCAATGGTCGAATTCAAACTGTTCGACCCAGAGGATTGAACTGCTTAACCGGAAACCGATCCCCTGACCGGTTCTGTTTCTGGTTCATTTTTAAAAACCTTGCTATAGTCATTTCAAACACTTTTTTCCTGAACTTTGTACTTAAAAAGAACCAATAAAAACAACAAATACTAACAAAACATAGAATTAATATATGTAATGAAAGTTGAATTAATATGTAAGAATAAGAAGTTCTACAAGATTTTAAGGGATGGGAAGAAGGTTGGGCTGGATCAGGATTGAAGGAATTTAGTTAGGGTTGGGGGTTTTGGGGGTTTAGAACTTAGGGTTGGGCTAAGGTTGACCTCAACCCAACCTAACCCGGCCCGACTTGCAGCCCTAAAGCCCCTTATGGTCCATGGTTAACCAAATAATATGTTCCATCAGAGGAACCAATAAGATCATGTTCATCAACAGTATGCAAAGTCCTAAAAAACAAGGCAACAAAATAAGACAACAAAAAGGAGCAAATGACCCATGAAAATTGTATACTGAAAACATTACTCTAAATGAGAGAATAAAGGAGGATGCAGAAAATCAGGATTTGCCCTCCGGCAAAATTTACGTTACAGTTACAAGACCATCTTAAGAAACTTCAAGCTTTTATAAATATAAAAGGAATAATTGAACCAGTATATATTTCATTATTTATCATGTAAGAACATGGCAATCCTGATTCAACACACTGCAAGCTTAGGAAGCTCCTACTGCATCCCAGCGCCAGATTGTCCCATCTTCACAGCAGCAAAGGATAGTGCTGCAACAAGGAAAGAGAGATCGATTCCTTTTAATGGTGTACACATTGGTTTGATATTAGAGAAATGAAGAGATAATGTATGTAAACGTGCAGGTCACTGATGAGTGATCATTTTAGTACCTTCCATCAAATGACATGGCAGTCTGTCTAATTGGAGATTTACACTGCACATGTGACAGCCTGAAGCAGAAATGATTTACGCAAAAGGGGAAAACATGAATAGCCAATTCAAGACCAAAGCAGTATTGAACATGAGAGAAGATATTGGATAGACCTTGCTATAAGAACTGGTGGGCTGGATTGCAGTTCCCAAACAAAAATCTTGCCTTCCCTATTTCCTGGTGAGCATGTAAGAAGTGAAATGTTCATAGAGCTTATATACATAAGCACGTCATGGTATGATGTGTTGAAGAGACATTGATAGGAGAATATCCAAATATTTGGTGAATACTAAGCCTAGTAAAATAACTCAAAATGGGCACTATATAAGTTTTTGAACAGTTAAACATAAAGATGGCAACTGCCGTTTTATTTCACCCATTGAATAGAAGCATAGACCTATAAATCCAATGAATACCAGGGGAAATTTCTAATGAAAAAATCTGATTCTGTGAGACAAGTTTGTCTATCCGTGCAATGTGTTGTTCCTTTAGAACCAACAATCAGGTCCACCACCCCACCCGAAAAAAAAAGAAAAGAAAAAAGGAGAAACAAAGGAAATGGTTTTAGGTTGCATTCTTAAGAGTACAATTTATCTGCTTTGACATAAGAATTTTCTGAGGTGGGATTGGGCATCTCAGAACTCTTTTCTCTGCTACAAATTTGCAACAGAACAGACGGTTGCAATACCAATTGGTAACTATCAAAATTGGAACCATAGGTAGACAGGTCCAGTTCCCTACAAGATATGTGTACTAGTACTGAAATAGTAGAAGATTGTCATGGTCTACCAGACATCCTAAGATTATTTGCAAAATTTAATTTACAACAAATTGAGTTATAAGCTCAGAAAGAGTCCTATGTCATAGGAAAAAGTACCACCAAGTCCAAAAGGAAAATTTTATAAAAGGTTAAATGGCCAGCAATGTTGCATGGAGCAGACTGCTAAGTGTTGGGCAGCCAAGAAACAACATGTCCAAAAATGAGTAGCAGAAATGCAAATTTTGAGATGGATGAGTGAGAAAATTATAAAAGGTAGGATCAGAAACGAACACTTTCAGAGGAACCTGGGATTAGTAGCTCCAGTAGGTGATAAATTGTGGGAAAGTAGACAAAGAGGGTCTGGTCATGTGCAGAGAAAACCATCTACAGCACTAGTAGAAGAAGTAATCTGTAACAAGTTTAAGGGACTAGAAGAACTATGGAAAGAATTAAAAGGACATGGGTTGAAAAAGTGAGAAATGATACTTTTGCACCATTTTGAGAGTGACCAATTTGTGATCACCAACAAAGCATTATGTGTGTGAATGCATATGCATACACATGGAGAAGAAGGCTGGAGTTTGAAGCCAAAAAGTATGTATTTGAAGCTTGCAGAAACAAGGGACAGGCATGTCTGAAGATCAGAGAAGAGAAAAAAACAACTATTTTTCTTTGCAGGGATGCAGTGATTTGGTTAAAGGGTTTCGTGGATGCAGTTACTTACAGCAAGAAACAAGTTGGATGGAAAGGTCAGCTGAATATGGGAAGGAAAAATTTTATAGCTAAGATGAGAAACAATAGAAAGAGGTGGTTCACAGCCGTTACCGAAAGTTTTGGGGAAAGCAACAGGAAGTTCGTGTGTATTTCGGAAGGAAATAGGAAGACAGGGTGGAAGTGTTTTGCAGATAAGATACAGCAGTACCTGGTAGTGACGGAGAGGAATGAAAAGGTTCAGCAAAAGATTTCAACAGAAAAACAGAGGTGGGGGAGAGAGAGAGTGTTCTGGTAGGAAAGGGAGAGCAGATAACTCAGAAGGCAGTGGAGGAATACATTGCTTATTCTGTTAAATCGAGTAAATTGGAGTTGGAAGTGGACAAGCAGAAATGGAACAATAAATTTGTGTTGACAGATGGAAGGAAAATTAAGGACTGGCAGCTCAATAGTTGAAAAAATAGTCCACACAATGGGTGGATTAATGGACTTCAGGGATTTGACGGCGATCAAGGCATGAATCCGAGAGATCAAGTCGGAGGAGGTGCCCCATCTGGTCACTTTCTTCTCGGAGGGACTTTGGAGGAGGATTTGGGTCCTGACAGAAGTGGAAGCGTATCTGTGGAGAAGCTGCTCGAAGGAGAAAGAAGGTGACATGGAGGAAGGATGCTTACGTGGCAGAGCTTCACTGGGAGGGGATGGGAAAGAACAGGGGGAATTTTTTGGGGAAGAGGAAGAGTCGGGTTCCAAGGGGGTATTGGGCAGCCACATTAAAAGAGGAAATAATTCAAAAACATTTAAGATGAAACGTCAGGTGGCTGGCCCATCATATGCTGATGTTGCGAAGAGCTTAAGTGACCCAAGCTATCGAATGGCTCAATCCGAGCCGGTTAAATTTCTGGGTGGTCTAACTGTCAAACCGGGGGGTATCAGCAATGACCCACGTGATAACTTAAAATATCGCGTGGGTCGGGACAGAGGTTTGGAAAAGAAGACGAGCGGGTCGAATATCGAACCGGGGGAACGTGTTTGTGACCCACGTGATAACTTAAAGTCTCACGTGGGTCGAGCTAAGGGAATAGTGTTGAGGGCCCGGGAATAGGATCTCGTCACGGGTCGGTCCACAGGGAAAACCTCCTGTTTTCCCTTGTTCCTTCCTGTTCTTGATGAACCTATCTTGGCGCCTCTGGTGATTTGTTCAAGAGATCACCAATTCTCCTAACTCACTTCTTCAACTG